TATTTAGTGACTGCATTATTATTTTTTTTTTATTTATGTGGGGTGCCATTTAGTGACTGCATTTTTGTTTTTTTGGATTTATGTAGGGTGTCCGGGCTAGCTTACGTGCACCACGACTAATCCACACGGCTTACTGAACATCCTACAAGCCCAGTGAGCAGAAGGCACCACGAGAGTAACAGGCGTGCATGGTGAGATTCGAATCCAGGTACGGAAGAAAGGGACAAGCACATATAGGTTACAAGGGTCAGGAACCACATAAAAAATGCAGTGGTGTCATTTCTGACGAATTTCACAGAAAATAAAAGAGAGGGCAGTGGGGCTTTCAGTCAAAAGGTTCATGTATAGGGTGCCCAGTTATGATATATTTCTTTGAAGAACCGTCGTTTGGGGCCCTTTTATTGTCTCTGGGCGTGCCATGCATGGCAACAATACTACCCAGACATGGCTCCCACTCTAATCATTCGATGTCACTAGGAATGGCCCTGGAAGTTTCGATAGTGTAGCATCTAAATTATGACTCAGCTGCATGACTTCATGGTTTGATTCCGATACACTACCTTTCATGTATAATCGTTGATCAGGAATCTCTCTTTTCTCATTAACAGATTTTGATTGTAAAAGCCTAATTCCAACTTGCGAGGTGGCTATGTGGGCATCATTACTCTTCAAAGAGTTCACAGTATCGGCAGCAATGAGTTCATGAAATTGTTAACATCATAGCCTCGCTACTCTAAACATTACATATTTAAAAAACAAAAAAAAAACATTTTTATAGTGTGATATTTCACAAAACACTGTGAACTGTTCACAAAACAATTATAAAAGCATTTATGTGCAGACAAAATAGAGTAATAGAAAGAAAAGGAAGGCAACAACAACATCGGCGAAAGATGCAACTTGTCTTCTAGCAAACTTTGAGAACCTTTAATCAAACCCAAGCATGTGGAGTTGAAGTTTCTATCAATTGTGAAGTATGAACTCAGACCGATTTTTAATCCGGTATTTCATCTTGAAATATCAAAAGATTTCTAGCCAACTAAATATCCCCACAATATACCGAAGGCCAAATTAGGAAAAGATAGCTTCACGTTGAATCTTCCCTCCAATCAGGAACCTCTTCTGAATTATGAGTGATTCTAAAGAACTTGGCATACATCATTCCAGGCCTACCCATTTGATAAAGCGACTCTCTATCTTCTAGGTTTCATAGCGTTCAAGGAAAAGATGCTCAACAGTTTCTCTATCAAAATCACCACACAAAAAACGAGAGAAAGAAATAGCCCACAAGATCATTGTCTATTGAAGTTTTTCTATCAAGGAAGTCCTTGGTGCATATTTTGTCATGAAGTACTGCCACATGAAAACTTCAATTTTTCCACAGAAGGGGGGAGAAGGACATACCAGGATGAGTAATTATGTCAATTACGGGATTTTGAATGTATTTTTTAAAAAATTATTTTAATCTAAAAATTTAATTTATTAGATGAAATTTTAAAATATAATTTTTATTATTTTTTAACATACTTCCTTAAATAAAAAGTTATATGAGCTTGAAACTTATATAGGTTCATATTATTTTGTGTTTAATTTTTATCAAATAAATAAAAATAATAAAATTTAAAATCATAATCACTTGGTCATTAAAGCTATGATACCATGTTAAAGAATTATTTTAATTTAAAAATTTAAATTGTTAAGTAAAGTTTTAAAATATGATTTATCTTATTTTCTAACAATGTTTTTCATTTCTTTCAATACTCTAATATTTAGACTTTTCATGAGATTGATTCAAACTAGCTCTATTCAGCTATGTGAGAAGAAGATTAAATTGATCATGTTACTAAGATCTTAAGAGGTCTTTCCCAAGATAGACTCTACGCATCAACAATTTCACTTAGTAAAAAGAGCATATAAATAAGGGAAAAGATAATTAAGAATGTCAATCTCTAACCACTAGTTAAAAATAAATAATCTTTTTATTTCTCATTTTAAAGCGAATGTTGTCTTTGAAAGCTACTGAAATTCGACTAGCAGTGCTGAAATTTGAGTAAACTTGATGTTTGCATCTATTTATGTCTTATAATTCATTTTTATTGTCATTATATTTCATGTGCAAAATCTCTAGGAATGTTTTGTTTCTGAATTAATCATCAATTTTATAAAATAGTATTTTAATATGTTGATGGAAAATAAATTGAAAGATTACGAATAATAATACTAATAATAAAAGAATTTCAACTTTTTATGTTCAAAATCATAGCTTGATACTTGAATTTCCAAATGATTATATATTTAATTTTCTTTGGTTGAGGATTTCATGTTTAAATCCTGAACTTTTTTTCTATATTTTATCAAGCGTGTATTGCATGTGTGTTGAGGGAAGAGAGATACAATTATATATATAAAAAAGAATTGAAAGAAATATTTGATCGGCTATATTCTTGCAACAAAAATGATGATTTTAGTATTAATGGATTTGTTTTAATAACAATTAAATATTAAATTATAAAATTATAAAAAAAAAACTAGAAAAAAACAGTTGTAATGAATAATAATAATAAAAAGCTTAGTTTCTTGGGTCAAGAAGGTCCAAAGCTTCTAGGTAAAAAGCCAGATTATTGATATATATTGACAATAAACCCTTTAAAAATATTAATACTCGGGTATTTTCAATTAGTTTTTGTCATGTATGCGAATAAAAATTCAGTCTATTTTATCGACAGAATTTGCACTTTTTTAAAAGTCAAGAAGTATTTTTTTTTTAATAATAAAAAAATGAAACTAGAATTATCTTCTTTTTTTTTTTTGGGAAGCCGCAAGAGGTATATTAATTTACATAAGTAAATTTAGAGTGGCTCTCAAGATTTTTGCATACGCGGTTCCCAATATATTTGAAAATCATACTAAGACTAAATAAATAAACTTAAATGATTTTTTAGGCCCCAACAAAATTTAGCTCCTTCCAAATTATTTGTATTTTTATAAAATTCTCATAATCTTACATTTAGGAAATCTTTCTTCACCTTAATTTTTTTAAAAGTAGATTGAATTTTTATTAGCATATAAGGAGATTCCCAGTTTAAAATATTAAAAAAATTGTTTTTTTAGAGATTTTTGGTCAATCATAATGATCAAATCAAACATAGCAATAATGTAATTCAAGAATAAAATTGATCAAATAGATAATAAAGGTATCATGAGTCATAAATCCAATTGCAAGGAGACAAAATTACCATAATTAAACCTATTTATTTGTCTTTGGAAGAAGGTCAACTTCCCTATCTCAATTGTTCTTAGCAAAACAACTTCAATTTTGGATTGGTTTCTATTAATTTTAACCCTTTTTTTTTTTTTAACTTTTCATGGCTAGTTTGTGTAAAGACCTTATTCCTTAACTTTTCGTGGCTAGTTTGTGTAAAGACCTTATTCCTCCTTCTGGATTTAATGTTCTTATATATAAAATTTAATTTCTTAAAGAGCATGTTCCCTTTTTTTATTCTTTTTATTTTGTATATGCAAACAAACTTGTTAGCTTGCTAGCATGGCTATTTTTTTTTTTATCTTAATACATATTTATATTCTAATAAATAAAAAAATTGTTCTTAGCAAAACTTTCTAGGTTATAGCAAATGTTGCTACAATGTTATCAAGCATTAACTAATTAGGGTAAATGTTACAAAATACAGTAGCATTTATACTGTTAGTAATTTCTTGTTTGCAGATGGATAAGGATGGTGGCATGTAGTCATTTTCACTACATTCTACCTTATTTAAAAGATATGACTCCCTCCTTCCTATGAATCACAAGAGAAATCCCAGTTGATAGAGAAAAGAGATGAAGACAAACAGGGCTTTAACTCCTGTCATCCAAGCTGCAATGGCATGGTCCCCGTAAAGTAACTCGGTGGCTGAATTTGGACGTGAGGCAAGCGAAGGTCACTGCACATAGCCTTAAATGAGCAATGGCAGCAATCCAATCATCAATGATATGGACACGTAGCAGCAATAATGGCTGGTGGTGAAGGCGATGGAAAGCCTACAAAAAATGGTATTTGCCACATCGACATTCATACCTTTATTTCTCTTTCTGAGATTCAAGGACTGGGGGAATGCATTTCATACTGTGTTTTTAAAATTTTTTATTTAAAATTAATATTATTTTACTATTTTTTTAAAATAATTTAGATAATAATATTAAAAATAATTTTTTTAAAAATATTTTAAAAAACAATCATATTATACTCCAACCACACACTTCATTTGCATAAAAATGAGGAGCACATAATTTCGGCCTTAGGCTTTAGAGGGTCGGTGGGTTGGGACCAAATTGTTGCGGGAGTCTTTGTTGAGGATGATAGAAATTATTCGATTGGAATTTTAAGAACTGACAGCTAAACCAATTAATATCTATGGGATCATTGAATTTTATTGATTAATTGAGATATTATTTAAACTTCAACTTTAAATTGGAATTAAATACGATTTAATTAAGGTTATTAATTTATAAAATTATATAATATATTAGAGAAAGTTTATAGCTAGTTATTAATTTATAAAATTATATAATATATTAGAGAAAGTTTATAGCTAGTGGCCTTATTAACTATAAATT